GCAAGGGTCCATTCTGTTCACAAGAGGGCGCTAGTGCTCCAACCTAAGGTACGACATTGCAGCTGATCACCGTGAGATGATAGGTGGCGCTACATAGACTGCCAGGTCGACCAAAGTTGGATAGGACACCGTGGACAAGTTCGAGCAAGACCCAGTGGTTAACTAGTGGTTGGTTCGTGACGTACCTAGCGCATGCGCACTGAAGTTGAAGTGCGAACGACTCTAATCGAACTATTGTCATGCCAACGGCCGTCAAAAAATGGCGGTCGCACAATTAATCAACACTTGTTATTTCTCTTTATTTACACAAATAATAGTGATTGTGTATAGTTTAGGACATCTTACATAATCGCCAATACTATTATGCAATAGTGACAAAAGTGACATAATCGTGAACTAACATGGACAAACTGTGCAATGAAAATGAAATTCAGCGCTCAAAGTTTCGTTTTCCGCCACTTTTGTTGATAGTTGGTCCCCTCTGCACTATGCTATGGAAGTTGCTATTGTATAACCAGCTATAAATCGTGAGGCGACCAGCCGCGGTAGGCTGGTCCTGAATAGTTGTCTAGAGTAGCCCAACCGTCGTCGACTAGACAGAGTTCGGGCTAACTTCAGTCGAACTACGGTTAACTATGGTGGCCCTGAAGGGACATCGCATATCGCAAACGTGTGCGCATACGTATGCGATGTCGCGAAATTTATCGCGAATGTGTGCGCACACGTATGCAATGTCGTGAAACAATTCGCGAATATGTGCGCACACGTATGCGATGTCGCGAAATTTATCGCGAATATGTGCGCACACGTATGCAATGTCGTAAAACAATTCGCGAATATGTGCGCACACGTATGCGATGTTGCAAAATTTATCGCGAATATGTGCGCACACGTATGCGATGTTGCAAAATTTATCGCGAATATGTGCGCACACGTATGCGATGTTGCAAAATTTATCGCGAATATGTGCGCACACGTATGCGATGTCGCGAAATTTATCGCGAATATATGCGCACACGTATGCGATGTCGTGAAATTTATCGCGAATATGTGCGCACACGTATGCGAATTTGTTTGCAATGTCGTGAATTTTATTGCATACCTTGTCGCATACCTTTCAGTAAAATTCCTAATGAACTGGGGAGTTGTAGCAGCTAGTCTGGAATCTAGACGTACTGTTAGATATAAATAGGGTCTGACTAATAAACCTGTCGAGCGCAAACTTGCTACTTGCGCAACTTTGAAATTTGCGCGCACAAGTTTGAAACTCACGTGGTGTCATATTTCAGCCAATAAATATGCGCACGCAAATTTAAATTGCCGTGATTTGCAGGTGTTGCGATCAATTTGTACATGAACTGCACGTTCTATTAATGATAAATGAACTGCTGCGAACTGCTAATAATACCACCTAGATAAAATTACTTGATCTTCCCAGTAGATGGATGAAATGGATTATGCAATAAAAATTCAAATTTATAAAACTATGTTGGGTACATTTTGTTTTAAAGGGGTGTTATAGGTCAGCAGCACTCCCTTTTGTGCACTTTTAGAGTGGAAAATGGAGACTCCTGATTAGGGCCTTAATTAACAGCTAATTAGTGGACCGAATTGGCCCCCTCCAAAATTTGATCTTCCCAGTAGATGGATGAAATGGATTATGCAATAAAAATTCAAATTTATAAAACTATGTGGGGTACATTTTGTTTTAAAGGGGTGTTATAGGTCATCAGCATTCAGTTTTGTGCACTTTTAGAGTGGAAAATGGAGACTCCTCGATAGGGCCTTAAATAACAGCTAATTAGTGGACCGAATTGGCCCCCTCCAAAATTTGATCTTCCCAGTAGATGGAAGAAATGGATTATGCAATAAAAATTCAAATTTATAAAACTATGTGGGGTACATTTTGTTTTAAAGGGGTGTTATAGGTCAGCAGCATTCCCTTTTGTGCACTTTTAGAGTGGAAAATGGAGACTCCTCATTAGGGCCTTAATTAACAGCTAATTAGTGGACCGAATTGGCCCCCTCCAAAATATGATGTGCCCAATAGAAGGTTCGGTTATATGAAAGCATAAAAAATAGTACATTTATTGTATATCTTTAACATTTCGTTGGGAAAGTCCAAGAAATCCTTTCACTACAAACAGAGAGGCAACCACCTTTTACTCTATGTGTTTGAGATTTTGATACCGCGGTTGAGAACGCGGCTAAGAACGCGGCTAAGAACGCGGCTAGGTTTTGGGCCCATAACGCGGCTAAGTTTAGTTTGGTATGACCTTGGCCACGCTGAAATGTAACTGCCTGGTACCCAAGCTCCTGCCTTGAAGTATCTTGGGTATACAAAATGGGACCAGGGCCACTTGCGTACTCCCTAGGTCACTAACAAATTGCCCGCAAAAATGACATCACCCCAAAGGTATGCGACAAAGGTATGCAATAAAATTCACGACATTGCAAACAAAATCGCATACGTGTGCGCACATATTCGCGAATTGTTTCACAACATCGCATACGTGTGCGCATATATTCACGATAAATTTCACGACATCGCATACGTGTGCGCACATATTCGCGATAAATTTCGCGACATCGCATTCGTGTGCGCACATATTCGCGAATTGTTTCACGACATTGCATACGTGTGCGCACACATTCGCGATAAATTTTGCGACATCGCACACGTGTGCGCACACGTTTGCGATATGCGATGTCCCTTCAGGGCCACCATAGTTAACAATAGTTCTTGCGCGAACTTGCCCCTATTTGTCGAAACCACATTTTGTCTCCAGATGTTGGAACCTTCGTTGTGAAGTGTTTGGCGTCTGGTATTTGGGTCATTCTATAAATTTGGGGTCCAAAGTGTGACATTTTTCCCGTCCCTGTTACCTTGGTACTTTGTAATTTGCGATTCAAGCATCATTAAGAATGACTTCAAATGATTGTTTATTTGTTGGGTAGGTAGTTTGCTATTCACAATCACTCTTGGAGGATGACTGCAATAAGGAGTGCATCAGAATTATACAATCATAGATGTCAGATGTAACAGGGACGGGAAAAAAGTGGACCCCAAATTTATAGAATGACCCATTTGCAGGTACGAATGAACTATGTATGTAGCAAAAGTATAATATGAATTTAATTTGACTTTTTCCTCTAAAAACTCTTATATGACAATTAGGGCCTACAAATGAATAAACAAAAGAAATATACAACCACAAAATAGAGCAGTATACTTCTTCTAAAACCCTCTTTGATGTATTTTACTTTCAAAAGGGCGCCATCTAGAGGGAACAAGTGGATTCTCAATCAAGTATGAGTTAATGCCAAAAATAATAATTAAATGTATATCCAAAAAACACGTAACTACAGGTAACAAAATACAGGTAACCTATATAATTATGTAGGCCAGACGTAACATTAGTAACTGAGAGCATTGGGTTCCATGTGATTTAATATGAGGCGATAATACCGAGCGATTAATTTATCAATCAACTTCGACAGCATCGAGCAGTGATGAAACCCCGGCAGAATTGCGAGAGACGTTTATTTATTAATAGCCGCGGTGATGACCGCCCACCGGTGTTGTTGTCTTAAGCTGCGCCGTCAGCTACGGCCGCGTTTCGAGCGGCGGACCGCCACGTCACGTTCCGATCCGTAGTATAGGCGTCGCGACGACTAGGCGAATTATTGGACCTATTTACGTTCAGATCTCTCCGAGAAGAAGCATATCTTTGGATGTTAACCCATCTGTCTTCATTCCTCGTCGGGATTTCCCGTTCAATTTGTAGTTACACCTATCACTTCCAGTTATGCCTGCACTAGTAGAAGGCGATCGCATGTGTAGGGACTGCTGATGTGGAAGCCGCAGCATTCATTCATAAAAAAGTCTCGACGAGTGACTTTCATTCATAACAGCCGGGCATCGTCTGCAAGGTATTAACGCGTGCATGCTTCTTGACTGATGTGCGCATTTCCCACATGAGAATGTGCACGTGCTATACGATTTCTACCGGCACTCTTTTGAAGGTGGGCGCTTTACACACCCATGGAGCTATTAATACACACCAGTTACAGTCTTCATCAGTGGATCTGATTTGAAGGATGAACGGCACGCGTATCATCCGACGGAATAATCTCTCAACTCTTAGTCTCCTGAACCAGAAATAACTTGCCGGAATTCCGGATGGACTACGCAGATTCTATGCAAAAATGGCATTAACTTTACGCTATTAGAAGCTGCGCGCTATCCTTTATTTGTGTGCCAAGGAAGCTGGTTGTGTCTTCAGAAGGGATATCAGTGGTTAACTGCTCGTGACACCAACGAGGATAGCATCTGGCGGTGGCTCACGCACTTTTCTCCTTGATGGAGTGGACGCGGCAAAATGCGGCCATTTTCGCACGGGGATAACACGCGAGGCCCGCGCTCGGCTTAAAGTGGCGCCAGGACACTGCAGTACGGGATTTCACAGCACCAGATCGAGGAAACGATAATTTGTCGCAACTAATTTTCGTATTTGATGCGGGACACAAAGAGCGGTTTGAAGAAGCTTATGTTGAGGAATGTTGATGAACGACAGTACAGTGGACTCCTGGATTTGAACAGATATATACGAGCTTATAACTTAAATGATTTTTTACGAGTAGTTTGTTGTACTATAATTTTAAGAAAAGGTGGACAATGTCATTGCCACTGATTGAATTGCTCTGTTTTTGTGGACTTTAAAACGAAAATGATGGGAATGCGAGCTTGCATGCAGGATAATTGTTTCCCCCTCATCACCTGTTTATGTTCCTCAAATCCAGGAGAACCTTAATGTTGATGCGTTTCCTATTCCTGTGCACTGCCTACCCGTCAGCAAGATGTTTTGAATTCATGTTAACCCCTACCATGGTATGATGAGGTGTCAACAACAGGCCGCGTACAGACCACTGAAATTAAGAAGCCGATGAGATACCACGGAAGCAAAGGCCAAACATGTATAATGAAATTAACCTGACACGGGTCGACCCGTGCCTAATGTACGTGTCACTGAACTAATCCTGACTCGTCGGTCAACGGTGTGCTAACAGCCCCGTCTTGGGACAACACTTCATCCCTTGATGCCCACAAATCCAAGCAAAGACAAATTCTTCATTTAATACCACGCATCCAAAGTCTGTCAGCAGCAGGAATTAAGCATCCACTCCTCCGTTTAACACTCAGATCTATCCCTCTTGTTGACAAGACAAAAATGCAGTCGCTTCGTTGTAGAAAACAACTCGTCTTGCCGTCACGCGATTACATCTGCGATGCGCATCGGACAGTTGCACTTGATGCCGAGGGCGAGTTGTGATCGCTGGTGCCAACAGACGGAGAAGGAGTAATTATGTCAACAGTGAATGATACGGAGGATGTAATGTACTACACAGGGGCACAGGATCGGAACATTTGTCCTTCCATGGAATTTAGGTATAATCTCACTAACGAGCTGGATGCTGAATGGTTCGTGGGAACATTTTCCTACAGCTGGACCGACACTGTAGTGCACACCATCATTCTACCGTTTATCCTGAGTGCTGGATTACTGGGAAACTTTGCATTTTTGTTCGTGGTATCCCGGATCGAGTGGATGCGCACCATCACCAATTGCTACCTGGTGAATCTAGCTCTAGCTGACATGACGTTCCTGGTGGTCTCGATCGGGGAGAAGCTCCACCAGTACACCCGGACCCCGTTCGTCTACGATGACCTGCCCAAGGGCGCGACCGGCTGTGTCCTGGTGCCCTTCGCCAAGGACTTCTGTTTTTTCTCCTCCATCCTCCTGGTGACTTGCATCTCAGTGGAGCGGTTCAACGCGGCCTGCCGGCCCTTAAAGCAGAGGCGGAACAAGGGAGCCAAGCTACGGGCCCGGACGGCTAAGCTGACCGCCATGGCTTGGGTCCTGTCCCTCGCTATGGCCAGCCTCCGTATATCCGCCTCCTGCTGCCAGTACCGAGTCTACTGCCTCATATGGCCCGACACAGACGCCTACTTGGATTACACTAGAGAGGTTGGAGAGTGCAGACCTGCCGCCGAGTGGGTAGCAACCGTCGCAAAGAGCATCCAACTCGTCCTGTTCACTGTAGCCATGGGGGTCAACACCGCACTCTACGTCCGGATCACCCGGGCTGTGCAGTGCACCAAGGCCCGCCCCAACGCCCGCCACCATATCCCCTGCAGTGGTAGCACCTCGGCCATCGAGGCCAAGATCACTCGCATGGTGGTAGCCACTGGAGTCATCTTCTTCCTCTGTCTCGCCCCGTACGAGCTCTTCTCGGCGCTGGTCATGGTCCTGCCGACCTTCGACGGCAACATGGTGTCGGCCATGCAGGTCTGCCGGATGCTGATGCATCTCAACTCGGCAATCAACCCCTTCATCTACAACGTGGCCAACCCTCGCTACAGGAAGGCCTTCCGGCTAGCTTTTACCAATACCCGGGCAGCAAGGACCAGAGAATTCCGCGAGAGTGTTAGGGAAACCCAGCACGGCAGGTTCAAAAACCCTAACCAGTCTTCAACTGTGTCTACTGTCCCCAAAAGGAGGACTCAAGGCCAATCTACGCAGGCAGCAAATAGTGTCACAAAGATGTAAAAATATATTTGCCAGGATATAAATTCTAGAGTCACTAAATTTGCCAGCAAATTCCTCCAAAGTCTATGTTTTCTACGTTAGTAGGCCTACGTGCAGCCGTTGTTCTAAAGGTTTTTTTCTGGGGGGGGGGGGGGGGGGGAGGGGTGCTAATGGTGCTTAAAGAATGGAGACGACTTTTATTTTATTTTCGATACATCTCCTACATGAACTCAGAAGGTGGTCACCAAGATATAGAAAGCAATCAAAGCAATTTTTTTGTATAAGAATATGAGTGTGTGTAAAAAAGTCCCGGGTCAGAAAATGACCCGGAATCCGGGTCCTATTTGACCTGATACATTTCAAGGTCAAAACGTCCATATCTTGTGTCGATATGACACTCTGAATCGTTTTCTGGATCATGTTGACCCGGAGACCTTGGCAAAAGTATCATAGTGACCCATTTCAGGGTCAAAATGACAATTTCCTTTGTCGAAAAGACACTACTCTGCTTCATTTTCTGGGTCATTTTGACCCGGAGACCTCGGCAAAAGTGTCATATTGACCCCATTTCAGGGTCAAAATGAAACTTTTCCGGGGTCGAACGACACTGTCTTCTTTGGCTCATTTTCTGGGTCAATTCGACCCGGAAACCTTGGGGAAAAGTGTCATATCATGACCCTGAAAAGTTTTATTTTGACCCTGAAAAGTTTTAGGTCAAATAGGACCCGGATGTGGGCCTTTTTATAGTGCAGTTACATTACAGAACGTCTGTGTATCATTTATATTAAATGCTATAACACAAATGAAAGTTGTCACGTTTAGAAACGATAAAAGAAGTCAAATAAGACGAAAAACGAAATAGACTCATTTAGGGAACAGCTTCAATGACTTTAGTACAAATGACTGTCACGAACAATGTAAGGAAATCATCTTTAAAAACCGCTGTTAATTCACCGGTTACGTGCAGGGGAGTAGTATCTCATGTTGAGTTTGTAACTGGTACAAAATAATGTGTGTGATTGGAATAATGACCGTATCGAGTGTTTTTTTTTGTGCTGTTATGTTTTTGCTGCTTTAAAATATTTCGAACTGAAAATAGTATTCAAGTGCCTTTCCCAGTCATTTTTTGCTAAATACTGCTTTTTTGAGTTGTTGACACAAAAGATCAGGCTTTTTTTTCTTTGCATATCGATATCCAAGAACAATACAATGATGTAAAGTATTATACGCAAATCCGATGTCTAGTTTACTTCTGGTTATGGAAATTCTTTTAGAAGTCATCTTCATCTTTCAAAATATTCATTGAAAGTCCATTATACCCTTCTGCATGTTTAGCCTATCAGTCCAATCTTTCCAGCGATTAAAATGTATTACCAAAAAACCTCATTGATATTCGTCTCTCAACAACGTCTGGTTTCAGTTTGTTGTCCAGAGGATCCGCTTTTGGACATCTTCCAAAACCTCGGTAACACCAGCTGAAAGTTGTAAAATCAATTCCCCCCGATTAAAACCCGAGTAACACCATCTGCAAGTTTTTAAATCAATTTTCTCGGATTAGAACCGGAGTAATACCCTGCGCGAAATCCGTAGTGCCTCGGGGAAGCGAATTGAATGTCACCCAGGAAGATCTTAACACAATATGGACAAATTGTCAAAAACTGCAACTCGAATAACAGCCGGGGGGCATGCCATATCGATAAAAAAGAGACCAACAAAAGTGTGTATGGAGGTACTCGGATCGTTTAGAAGGGATCAGTGTCACTGTCATTTTATCTGAATTGGATTGTCGCCTGTGGCCCTTGAGCAGATCACAGTAACACATAGGTTATTCCCCTCTTGCGAATTCTAACTGCTTGTATGATTGTGTAAACATGTATAGGCCTACCTTTTCCCTATACAGTATGGAGGGTATCATAACAAAATGTGTGTAACGATATTGCAATTTCATTCAGCGGACGCTACTCTGTTATTATTGGCTCAAGTTGTGTTTTTACCGTACACATAATGAAGAAGGACCTTATAAGAAAGGGTTCGTCACTCTTGACTGACTATACATGTTGAGTAAAAAAGAAAGTGCTCGAATTAGAAAAAAACCCAGTACACGTGCGGCCAGCTCTATTTCATAAAAATAACATAGGGCTAAAGTACGTGTTATTGACTGTAATAGTATCTGTGGAAAATTCACTTAATTTGCATATTCTATTCCCAAGTTATGACTATTTTTATATAAAAATCCCAAATTTTAGCTGTCCACCACTGATCATTTACCGTTCTACGAACTGATGGATGGTCATTGAATACAATGAAACATAAACTTGTTCCCACCTCAATGAATGACCGAAATCTTGCAAAGAAAAACAGACAAATATCGCCATAAATTTTCAAGGAAACAAAGAGTGAACGTTTCAAAACACAAAATCTGACAGTAAACTCATATTCAAAACAGAATCTGACAGAAAAAAAATGTTTCAGTCTTGACTCAAAATGATTAAAATCCCATCTGTATTTGAATGCGTGTGTGTAATCAGTAATTCTCACTCACAGCTCAATTATTGTATTCCGTATTAAACAGCTATAAAACTAGGTTCTTTTAGCAACTGATAGCATGGATCAATATCAGAATTTTCAATAAAGTGAAAGCACATGCTCTTTTTAAGACATGCTTCGTTTGTGTATTAAATTTGATTGCTTTCAAGACAAAATATCTTTAATCCAGGTCAATTTCTTTTTGATTCGCCTTGTATTCTCTTCTTTGATTTGAAATATTTTGCTTTGTTGTATCACTGTGAACGATGGCACCGTCTTTTAAAGGGTTGTGTGCCCGGTTTACCTAAATAATCCCTTAAGTTTTTCGTTCATTTCTTTCTGGACATCACTTGTTTTCTCACAATAGCTCCGTGCATATAGATAGTATTCGATCATTTATATCCGGTTGCTAGATCGACACCTCTCCCAAGGATTGTGGCACTTTGCTTTCCGTTGATCACTTCGTCTCGGCACCACTAAGTTTCTAATACAGTGCGATTCTCGGTTGACGGTATTATACGGTGATCTGGCATTGCCACCCGGGAAGTTGAGCTCCTAACGTATTTGTATCTCGACATGTTTGCATCTTGCACATGTAAATGTCGACTTCCAGAAATATATATTTCAGGACAACACGAATGGCATCTGTTGGCCTCCGTACTTACACCGAAGTTATAAACTTTTGGTCACCGAAGTAAACCAATTCTACAAACACCAACGACTATTCTCCATGACCTATCTCGTATTTTATCATTTGCCTATTTTTCGGCCTCAATCAATTATTTATCTCTATAGGTTTCTCATGAGGACCCCATCGTGATAAAATTTTCAGCTGTGCGGAATTGCCGAATATCACTTTTGTTTTTCAATTACGCCGTTTGGCCTGGCGCGCAAGTCATTCCCTTGCTCTTGGGTTCATTTTCTGATTAAAATTTAACACCTCCGAGACTGTTGCTCCCCGGACCTGACGACAATAATTCATCGGTCACGCAGTTCCAATTAACGGTTGATCCCATGGATGGAGACCGCTCGCAAATCGGTTTTTTCTTCATGTTACTAATTAATAAGAGCGAAATATGTCTTATTTATCTGTATTAAATACCCTTCGCTCGCTCTAGTTGTTCATTTAAAGGTTTGGTGTCTCTTTCATCAGTGCGCACGTATCAGATCCACGTTCTGTATCAATGCATGAGGATACATGCGTCGCATGCAGCAGTAGCAGTAAACAGCCCAAGCTCCCGCCTCATCACGCGGCCGAATTCCCGCGAGATTTCGGGCGGTAATTGAAGCGCTGATCCTTTGCGGGGCAGCGGTCGCTTGTTGGGATACGTGCCGCGAATGAATACAGCGATATTGGCTTGATAAGTTGAATCCAGCCCTTCAAACTCGTCGATGCTGTACCATGATGCGATACACATTGTGTACTCCATGTCGATTTGAAATGCGCCTCTCGGCTCATGGCACCTCGCCAGAACAAATAATGTTCATCCCACATGAAAAATAACACGTGTCAGTGCATGTCATGATGATTCGTGTTTACGCAGTATGCACAGCGCATTACCACTGGGAAATCCACATTCATGTCTTTTCACATCTTTTGCTGGCTGGGGAGAGAGCAAGCCATGGAGCTGGTTGGGTGGCTTGCCGGCTGACTGGCTGGCTGGCTGGCTCCCCGGCTGGCTGGCTGGCTCCCCCAGTCCTTGCTGACTGACAGCCAGGTAAGGCTGGCTGGCTTGTAGCCTGGCTTGTAGCCTGGCTGGCTGGCTTGTAGCCTGGCTGGCAGCCTGGCTGGTTGGCTGACACGTAGTTGTAGGGTAAGGAAGAGAGCCGGGCAGCGCTATCGTATATGATTCTCCCGTAACGCCAAAGAATGGTCTAAATCCACCCCATTGTGCAGACCAGATGCATGAAAAGACTGCCAGTACATAGCCATTCTGAACCAAGCATGGAATAGAATCTGCGTGCTCTAACTAAGACTGGCCTGTGACCATGTTTACTAGGCTTGCTTTGCATAAGCGAGTTACACGCAATATAGTTCATGTACGGCTTACATAAATGTACTAAAAAAGGAACAAAAGTGTGCTTGGCCAGTTTTATGTTCAAGACCGCTTCGAGCCTGGAAGCTGATAGTGACCCGAGCCGAACCTGTTCGGTCAAAGAGTCAAAACATTCGAGTAAAAAGGAAAAAAATCCGATTTTGGTCAACAATTTTACTTCATTTTTTTTTTTAACACCCCTCCAGCTATGTTATGGTATGTGCCTCTCGCGAGTAGTCGTAAACAACTCCTTATGGAGATTGGCGCGCGCGTACATGGTGCGTACTGCTCGACATGTGGTGCGTACTGCACGACCTGTGGTGCGTACTGCACGACCTGTGGTGCGTACTGCACGACCTGTGGTGCGTACTGCACGACCTGTGGTGCGTACTGAACGACCTGTGACGCAGAACGCAGCTGTGCCGGTGTAATGAGAATTTAGGACTATGAAATACTGACTCATTTGTAGTATTGCGCATGCCTAAGTGAGGATTGTGAATGTTCATCAACAAAATAAAAGGGTAAAAGGGACCCGATTTCATAGGAGTCCAA